CGATAAAAAAAACAAAAAAGAAATTGAACGTCAATACATTTTATCAAATTAGGCAACAATATCTACACTTAGAAGCTAAGACTAAAATATTTTGCAAAACAATAATAACTTAACTAAGAAATATGATATAGTTTCATATAACAAAGCCTTTCTATTCTTTCCTCAAAATGCTACATTCCTTAGCCATACTGTCCAAGAAAAGGTGACATTTATTTATTCTTAAGGTCATATGCAATAAATATGAGATAATAATTATAGAAATATTTTGAGAATAAACATTTTACTACCTAGAGAATTAGAATATTTGAAAGGGCTTTAAAGAAATGGATGTAACATTTTAAACTCAAAATTGGCCAGTTTTTCAACTTTCTAAAACTACCAAAATTACAGGTTCCTCACACGCATCTACATACACATAATTAGCTAAGTTACTGAAAAGTTGAATGAATAGAATTAGTTCTCTGCCATCACTACCATTATTTCAATAGCTACCACAGATCACAAACAAAAGCTAAATGCTTTCAAAAGCATTCTAGTATAGTCTGAAAACTTAAACACATTAACAATTTGGACTTAATAGGTACGTCAGAGTTGTAAGAAATATAGCATTATCATTACCATTTACAACTGGTATCCACATAAACAATGGTAGTATGAACTAGGGAGCTTCAAACATGATGCTACTCCAGTGAGAGGATGACAAAGGAGAGAAAAATATTTCTTCCAAATAAACCTAGGCCAAGTCCACAGCAAGTGTCTCTAGGCAAATATAACTAACCAAATACATGAAATAAAATATTTTGTTGGCAAAGAGAAAATCAGAGTTTTCACCTTTCATGCCTGGTGTAAGAAAATGCAAACACCTGCTTTGAAAGTCCCGGAGGAGAGAGCTAACTTAAAGAATTGAAAAATATGCCTGCATGGAGGGAACCATATGGCACAGCACAGAATTTTTCACAGTATGGTACAGGTATACATGAATTTACTTTTTATGAGAACAAGAATGAAACTGTGTGTGGGTGCGTGTGGCGGCGGGGGGGGGGGGGTGTATTCACCTGAGTATACATTCATAATTTTCTATCTATGGCTGGTGATACTCATTCTCCCGCTTTTGGTAACTATCTACCTTGTCTGTAAGCCATGTACTTAATATAAAAAGTAATTCTATTTGAGAAGCAATCAGACCTCCTGTACCCACCCATGCAGTATGATAAGAGACTTCCCCTAGATTTAATAAAAAATTGGGAGGTTTCTTAATTCTTTGGTTTAACCTGTGCACTAAAGATCATATACCTGTGATACCATATAAAAAAATTATATGAATCAAAAAATATTAAATGAATCAAATCAACTCAATGATTAACCAAGTTTCTCTCCCCACTCAACTCTATGGCAGCTAAGCATTTACCGAGCAGGCAGAGTTGAACAAGTTTTTAAAAACAGGACAAAGATACTGAACATTAGAGGGCTCCCAGTTAAATAACCCCATCAGATGACCCCATTGTAAGTCAACAAGGCCTATTTATGCATTCAAATATCCTGCATTTTAAGATATGATAAATACCAGTTACCAGACATCTAAAAGTTTTAATAATAAAGACAAAAAACAAGAACAGACCGCCTTGAAAGAAAAAGTAAAAAGAAAATTTCAATCATTTTTAAAAAATTATACCTTCTGAGAAAAAAATAAAACAATGAAAACATGATGTTATAAAAAGAGAAAGGGCATTTTGAATTTTTATTTGCATGTAAAAATATGATGTTAGAAATTAAAGTAGGCCAGAAGTTTAAAATAAATCAAAAAATCTAGAAAATAAAAAAAAAAAAGAAAGAGAAAACAGAGGAGAGGTAATTATCAAACAAAAAAACTGAAGAAAAATTTCTAGAACTAAAGAATATGAATACTCACTTTGGAAAGACCCATGATAGTTTCAACACAATTTATTAAAATAGGCAGGGCCAAGCATGGCGGTGCACACTTATAATCCCAGAACTTGGAAGGATGAGTCAGGAAGATCACAAGTTCAGGGTCATCCTGGGCTACATACTGAGTTCAAGAACAGCCTGAACTATGTAGCAAGACCCTGTCTCAAAAAAACCAAAGGAAAAAAAAAATAGGCATAAAATTTCAATAAATTTGGATGTAAACATTTTATAAACTTTCAGAGAGAAAAAGAAAAAATCATAGAGGCTACACAAAAAAATTGAGAAATCAAAGAATGTTTCATGCATCCACAGCAGTCTTACAAACTAAAAAAAAATATGATTAAACCGGGGAAAATAAATGAACTTTGCAAGACAGGATAGGACCCTTACTATATGCTATATTTTAATAAATTTATACATCAAGGTAGAATAAACACTGAATATTAATCTACCCAAATTAAAATGTAATCATTAGGTTAAGACATATGAAATTATCATATTTGTACATCAGAATCTAAAACTATCAGTAACATGAAGAATAAGAAAGGAGTGTGTGTTAGGGATCAAGAAAAGCAAAATTAAAGCAATTCTTAGTACTAAAATTTTTTTAAAAATTAAATGCAGGAAATGACTGAGGATTTAGCTCAGTGGCATAGCATTTGCCTGGCAAGTATGAGGTTGTATGTTCAATCCCCAGTACCAAAAAAAAAAGCAGTAAAATAAATATAATGTATAAAATATAAAAACAATAGGTAAAAAAGTTCAGAACTTTCAGAAGCCTCTGAGAAGTGATTTAGGAGAAGGGAAGTTAAATTCCACTTTTTAAAAAATGCTGCATTAATGGACTCTAATGCATGCCCTATCTACTACATGAACTGTGTAAGACTCATAGCATACACTGGTTTGCTATGATACATATATATATATATTTGATATACATATATATTTAATAAAAAGAAAACTGTCTTTTTGAGTGGGATGAAAAAAAGATAGATTCTAGGACAGAGAGTTATACAGGTACTAAAGATTTTTCAAAGTCTCAGACGGTAGTTTGTGGAGATAGGAACACTATCTGCATCCCATTGCTGTTTGAGACAAGTTTTCTCAAAAATCATTCTTTCACAAAACAGATGAAAACCAAGCCAAAGTGAGGTTAACTGTTCGACTAACCCTTAATATTTATACACTGCGGAATTATCTTTTTAACATTAAGTGTGCAGAAAAATGCCACACTTACTCAGTTGCTATCTGATTCATACTATGTAAGCTGTCCTTCTCTGAATAATATTCAGCTTTGAAATTGGCAATGACATAAACAAAACCAGAGGATTTTAAAACATTATTTTGGAAAGGCTCTTTAATGGTTAAATAAAAAAAGAACAATAAAAATAATAAAATAAATAATAAAAATAAAATAATAATATAACTATATAATATATAATTATAATAATATAAAATAATAAAAATAAAATAAATTTAAAAAGGAAAAAGAAAGTTGGGCATAGTGGCACATGCCTGCAAAACCATCACTCAGGAGGCAAGAGAAATATTGTAAATTCAAGGCCAGCGTGGGCTACATAGTGAGTTCAATCCCAGCATGACATCACAAACAGAACTTGTCTCAAAAAAGAAAAGAAAAAAGATAACAAACATAACTAATAGGTTGAAACATATGAAATATTTTTTATAAAAAACACATATAGTTCAAATCAATTTGGAGCATGAGGTATGGGGAAGGTTTAAATGTATGTACTGATTGTAGAGATTAAGAAAAAAGGAATGTGCTTAAGGTTTTTTAAAAATTACTTTTCAGATAGCTTTACTTACCCTAGAGTCAAAGACTTCTTTGGGATCCCAGCACTCTCCTCCACACCCAACCCAATTCCTTACCTTGAGAAGAATATAACCTCTGTCCTTCTATCATTTTTGACAAGATATCTCTCTCTCTAAACTTTTAGTTAGAATTACAGTAGCTAAGATTTGTTAAAGATTCTCCAACAGACTGAGAAATTACAGGTAAATCTTGAGTGTCAAAATAATGCTACATGATGTAAGATCTTTCTTACTTAAGTTCTTATCATTTTGGAAAACATGACAGGCCAGTATGTTCACAGTCTACACGTAGTATTAACTGACATGAACATCATTGTCAGTATCTTTCTAAAACAAGTCAAATATCCCACATATGAATAAACCTATAGTAAATATTTGATAATGAAGGCTGAAAGTTTGGTTCAGCAGCGTAAATACCTGCTTGGTAAACACCAGGTCATGAGTTCAGTCCCCAGTACAAAAAAAAACAAACAAACAAAAAAAAAAAAACACATACACATACATTTGATAATGAGTTATATACACACATTTGATAGAGTTCCTTTCCAAGTGTTTAATAGATGGGCCAGATCTCCATAATTTTAGATTAATTTCATTTTTATTAAAGATATTTAGCAGCCACCTAATGGCCAGGCACTTTCTTTTCTTTCTTTCTTTTTTTTTTTTTTTTATTAAAAAAAATTTTTTTTGAGGGGGTATTGAACCAGGAATTGAACTCAGGATCTTGCACTTGCCAGGCAAGTACTTATGCTGCTGAGTTATATCTCAAGCCCCCAAGGTACTAACACATCACAAAAGCAAAAATTTTTAGTGTAATGTACATGCATGCTTGCTTTAATAAGTGTTATGAGCCAATTAAATAAAAAATATTGTTGCTGACATTTCAATATGAAAGAAATAAGAAGCTCAGATATACAATGGGAAAAAAATCAGGAGAAAATCTTTTTTAACGCAGTCAAGTCAAAAGAAAATACCTTCCTTTAGGAATTAAGAAGCTGTTTTAGAGAGGGCTTACAATCTAAGTATTTACCTTTATTCGTCTACAGCCTAGCATAAAAGAACATGGCACATTCAGGAACACTGAATAAACATTTGCTGAAATGATCTGAGAACTGAACTATGCCTTTCTTAGCACTCAGTGAGGGAGATAGTTAAGTCTAAACAGTCCATGGGCACAGCTATGTTAGGCAGTCAGCATGATGAAAGAAAAAGCCTCTTCTCGGAGAATAGCAGATCCTTACCTGTTGCTGGACTGGTACTTGCTGTACCACCTGTGTAGGCACTGCTGCTTGACTAGCCACAGATGTTTGCAAAGTCACTGTCGAACCTGTGTCCGACCCAGTCTCTGATGTCTGCATGATGGTCTCTGAAATACATGAAAACAGAAATAAAATTTACTATGTTCTCCATGTAAAACAAGCTTCCTTACATTTATTCTTAATATTCTGTACTGAGACTTTTAGCTCTCATCATATCTCTTGTCCCAACAAACTCCCATAATTCATATATGTTATAAACATCATGACCACTATTTAAATACAGAAGAATATTCAGCCACATTTTTATTAAAAACAATTACTCACTAGGATCTGTTAAACTGAGATTATGATGGTTGAATTTAATGAAGAACTGCCTTCCTTAGATTTCATCTATTACAAATATTTCACTCTCTTTAAGAATTATGCTTCAAAATAATGTAACATATTCTTAATTCTCAGAACACACCCTACCTGGTAGAAACTACTTTCTAGATACTTTCAAAGGTTATCAAAATGTTCCTGAAGGAATATGATATAAAATGAATCATGTGTAAGATCCTTTCCAATTTAAAAACTTACTATTCAGTGATATATAAAAATTGGTGCATATCCAAAAATCAATTGATATATCCCAAATTTAGTCAAAGAATCAAGTTCATTAAATTTTCCAAGCTTCTAAGTCTTAACATCCCTTTTGCTACTTATGAATTCAAAAGTAAATAAGAATTCCTTTGCTATTGAGCAGGAACCAGAATTCTCATTTTCTTCCTTAACACGAAGCGGACACTAATTGCTGGCCTAAAAAAAACTTTTGCACCATAGCTAAAGTCCATGAAAGTATCATATGCACTGATTTTCCTTAAAAAATTCTGAAAGAGTATTTAGTTCTATCAAGCAGAAAATTAACTCTTTTCAGAATCTTTTGTTATGACCTCTTCCATTTCTTTTTCTCCATAACTTCTATTATCTCATTCGGTTTTACAAAGGGATCTCTGAAGACATCAAATCTCCTCCTATTTTATAAATGAAGAATGTAAACTCCACAAAGGTTAAGAAACTCAACAGGGTCAAGGGGAGTTTGGGGACTTTTTTTTAAACTTTGAATGTGTGCTTATTTTATTTGGAGAGCTGATGCTGGCATTTTTGTAAGGAATCAGAATATTATCTTGATTTTTTTTTGTCAAAATCCTAAAACAACACAATAAAACTTAATGCGTATTTAAAAAGTATAGTAATGGAAATTATCACTAATTGTTTAAAAATGTTAATGACCAACCTAATGTAGTTGGTAAGATGATTATCATTTACAAGTGACAAACCTCAAGTACATAAACAGAAGCCGAGTAGGGGCTACAAAATAAAAGGATGGAGATTGTGGCTAATCCCCCAGTTCTATGAGTGCCCTAATGTTCAGTTCTAAGATATGATGGATATATAGGAGGGCTAATTGGCAGAAACCAGTTCTAATTTTCCAAAGACTGAAATACTTATGTGAAACATCACAAATTGTGGCTCAGTTTTTAAAATTTGACACTGATTTACAAACACACACACACACGCTCACACACCCCTTTGAACTACCAAGAAGACCATGGGTAGGTGCACAAACATATGAAAATAACAGCATTAATTACAGAAAATTCCTACTAATTAAGATCAGTGAAGGGCAATGGTTCTTAAAATTTTGGGGAAGAATATGCAAATTAGGAACCCTATCTATGGTGCTTCCTCTTTCTTTCATCATAGAGTAGGAGGGAGGGAAGGGGTTCAACAGAAAAGAAAGCAGAAGCCAAGATCTTTTGATTTATTACACATTTCTATGCTTTGATGCTTGTGTGCTATGGTAGAGGAGCAATTAGTGAGACTGAGGTAATGTTTTTCGGGAGATGTGGAATGAACCACACAGTAGATCTACCTTCTGTGAGTTTTTGTCTGATTCTCTTGCCAACATCAAGATGGCTGATAGTCTTAGTTTAAGACACGGATGAAGGCAGAGTGGCCAGTTACTGCTTTTCCTTTAAGCTACTCAAACCGAAGTAGATACATATGTTTTGTTTTGTTTTGTTTTGTTTTGAACAAGCAAATGGCTTACGCCAATCCTCCCTCCTTTTCCCCCAGAACTGTTTAGAAACATTGCCAAGACTGCCTTGTATGCTCACACTTTGTATGCATACCAGTCTACATATCCTTTTCAGGTCCATGACCCACATTTTGACAATCAGTGTTTTAAGTAAACACATGAAAGCATGTGAAGAAAGAAGTTCTGTTTAAAATTAACTTAACCTTCAAAGTAATTCTTAACACTCAATAAACGATCTGAAACAGTGTATCAGGAAAGTAAAGCCATAGATTGAATACTGGCCTCTTCCTTATTATATTAGACTCAACCTACTGATTTTGTTTTGCTCAGAGTGAATGCCTATCAACATTTAAAAATCAGAAAACTATGCCCTGAAATGCAAATTCTGATTTTCTTGAAAAATCTGAAATTTGAAAAGGTGAGCCCGTACTACTGGTTTACTGGCCAATAATTTAAATGGCAATATAGAATCACTTATTTTGCTTCAATAAACATTCGAGTGTTTTGAGTCTCTAGAATGAAGCCAAGAACCTATTTCTATTAATTGAAATTTGAATACACAGAGGGAGGGGGGAGGGACAGTGTTGAAGACATTTGAACTGATTCGCTTATTTTATGCAAAAGAGTAATACCAAGCTTTGATTATTGAAATAAGGTGTGACTGTATTATTAAAACTATAGTTTTCTCATTTCACAGGTTGGTCAGTTAAGTCTCAGAGATGATAAACCACTTGCCCAAGGCTCTACTGGTGGAAAATAGGAAAGCAGGGTTTGAACATCACAGAGCTCTGTGCACTGAACTACCAGGACAGGTTGAATATTCTCAGTTTCATAATAGACACTGCACAGATAGAAATAAAGAGAAAAGAAATAAAGGTTGTTAAAATTTTAGAAAAAGAAAACAAACCAACTGTCAACTATTTAACAAAAGCAGACTTTACAAAATAGTGTAGTGGAAGTAAGAGAGGTAAAAACACTTGTTTAAAATTTAAAGTTAGTACGTTATAGAAAACTTCACATTCAGCATTTGGCTCCTTCTAACATACCATATCAAAAGTGGCACAATGATCCCAACCCAGTAAAACCAAGTATCAACCAGCTCTCCGAGTATCTACTGTTTCTTCCAAATTTCTGTTCATTGGTCCAAACTACTTGGCTTCTAGAACAGAGTCAAACCAATAGATTAAGAATTCAGTCCCTCAGCATTGTCTGGTTTTTTTTTGCTTTCATTCTCTGATTCAGTATCATCTTCAGCTTAAGGTTCTCTCTGACATGTCTTAAGAGACTCTCAATCACATCCCACACAAGACCACCTCTAAAAGTCACAACTAGCGCTGTCATTTACTTTTAGTGGAGCCAGAAACTAAGCTAACTGCATTAAATACTTTTCTAGTTTAATCCTCATAGTACCACAGTTCTCTACTTAACAAATGAGGCAACAGGCACAGCTCAATTAAACTTATCAAAAGTCAGAAGAAGTAGGGGCTGGGGATTTAGCTCAGTGGCATAAGCCCCTGCCTTGCAAGCAGACAGTCATGAGTTGGATCCCCAGTACCGATAAAAAAGAAAAAGACAAAAAAAAAAAGTCAGAAGAAGCACCTGAATTCAATCTATATCTGTGTGGATCTAAAGCCCATGGTATCACCACTAGGTTATAATATTTTGCAATATCCTCACTAGATTTACAAATAAAAATAAATCCCTAGATAGAAGACTGTTGGACTGAAGAAGAAACTTTGGGTTCTAAGCACATACTACTTTATTTATACTTCCAAAGTTAGACATGCATCCTATCTTTCCGACACCAAAATTAAAGAATTTATTTCCTCCTTTTCTACTGAAGCCATCACAAAACATAACTAGTATTTTTCAGAGGCATTTCAGAGGCACATGATTAATTCCAAAGACTTCATTTAACAGCATATCAATTAATGTTATAAAGCATTTTTGAAAAGTATAACTCTCCTGCCAAATTTTGCTAAATAGATGACTTAAGTCCATAAACACTAACAGTATTCTGGGAGTTAGCTAACATTCATACAAAGTAAAGATTATCACATGAGGACATGCTCCATTTGTAGGTTTTGTTTTACACCTAACATAGCAGTTTGAGGATATTTGAGATGTTTACATTCATCCAGCAGTGGTTTCTGGTGCTTTGTTTATGTTTGGTAGTAATTTAGTTGGTTTAGTTCCTTCACAGCCTCCTTTCAAGTGATATTTGTTTATCAGTCACAAATGCAGTCACATTAATCCATTTTGATAAGCTAAATAAACCCCTGCAGTCTGTCAATGATGAGGCTCCTATGTAAATGAGCTGTATATTCTTGCAGGAAAGACTTGAACAATTTCAGTCTAGTCATCCTTGCCTAATGTGACTGTCAGGTGTGCCATGAGCAACAGATGCTTGTTTGACAAAGGACCTTTTTATTCTGGCTAATTAAGCAGTTGGACACACCCGCCTGTTAAAGGTTCAGCTTTGTACAGCCAGCTCTGGCTGAATCATGCGAATCTACAGCTAAATGGGCCACATTTTGAAAGCAGGCTAATTAACCCCTAGGAGAAGGAAAAGAATATTGCAAAAACCCAGCTGCTGAATGCAACAAGATTAGCATTTCCTCAACCTGATGGGTAAATCTAGGCAAATCAGATGTGTTTGGAACAAACATGCATTATTTTCAAGTTTTAAAGCATTCAAATGTTCTCTCTGGAACTTCCTGAAGATTATTTAATACACTCAAAGTCACAGTTGGATTCCTTTTATCACACACAATGTACATGCCAGAATAAATGGTTTAATAGTCTGACCTAATCAATTACTTATCAAACAGAACTACATAAGTAGGCTAGTTTAAAATGGGCAATACCCATCTAATTTTTAGTGGGATCTTTCATCTTGATATAATTTTGCCATCCTAAAAGCAAAGTCTAAAAGTTTGATTCAACTACACTTACTGTATTGTGTTTAACACTGAAGACTTTAACAGGTTTTAATTCAGCATGGAATATAATGACTTTTTTAACTTT